CGTTCTCGAAACGCGGTACCCCCTCAGCCCTGTATGCGAACAGGGTGGAGGGGGTACGGCGTTTTGAAAACGCCGTACCCCCTCGGCCCTGTATGTGAACAGGGTGGAGGGGGTACGGCATTTTCAAAACGCGGTACCCCCTCGACCCTGTATGTGAACAGGGTCGAGGGGGTACGGCGTTTCGAAAATGTCGTACCCCCTCCGGTTCGCGGTGTGGGTGGGAGCGGGGGTACGACGTTCTCGAGACGCCGTACCCACGCTCTTTTCGCCTCCCGGCTACTGAAGGGGGTACGGCGTTTTCCCTCGGCCCTGAATGTGAACAGGGTCGAGGGGGTACGACGTTTTGAAAACGCCGTACCCCCTCCGGTTTTCGGCGGGGGTTGGGAGCGGGGGTACGGCGTTCTTGAAACGCCGTACCCCCCCTCCTTTCGCCTCCCGGCAACCGATGGGGGTGCGGCGTTTTAAAAACGTTGTACCCCCTCGGCCCTGTACGTGAACAGGGTCGAGGGGGTACGGCGTTTCGAGAACGTCGTACCCCCGCTCCCACCCCCACCTTGCAACGGAAGGGGGTGGGAGCGGGGGTGTGGCGTTCTCGAAATGTCGTACCCCCACTCCCGCCCCCACCTGGCAACCGAAGGGGGAACGGCGTTTTCAAAACGTCGTACCCCATCACCCCTGTATGTGAGCAGGGTCGAGGGGATGCGGCGTTTTCGAAACGCCGTACCCCCTACGCTTCTCTGTGGGGGGTGGGAGCGGGGGTAAGACGTTCTCGAAATGCCGTGCCCCCTCCGCCCTGTATGTGAACAGGCTCCAGGGGGTTCGGCGTTTCGGAAACGCCGTACCCCCTCCGGTTCTCGGTGGGTGTGGGAGCGGGGGTACGGCGGTCTCGAAACGCCGTGCCCCCACCAGTTCTCGGAGAGGATAGGGAGGTGGGCCGCATGGCGTTCCCAAAACGCCGTAGCCCGGCCCCGTAGGTGGACAGGGCCGACGGGTGAGGCGCTTCGAGATCGCTGTATCATCGCCCCCTCTCGTCTCCGATGAGCGGACGGGGTGTGGTGTTTTCGAAACGCCGTGCCCCCCTCGGCCTTGCTTCGCGGAACCGGACGGGGTAGGGCGTTTTCAGAACGCCCTATACCATGCGACGCTCGAATGCGTCGGCGACTCACGTGAGGCGATGGTGGAAGGTTTGAAATCTGAATGCGATCCGTTCCTTCGTTTGGAATGTGCCTGCCATCAGGAGGAGGATCTACTGTCCCAGAAAAGAGAGTCTACAACACGTGCACAATCTATAGAGATAGGGAGTGGGCCCTTGATTGGGGGGGGGGGCTACACGAGGCGGGATGTGGGGCCGCTGTGTTTCTGAAGAACGCCTCGGGTGACGACTGGTTCTGTGTTGGAGGGATTATTAAATCCGAGGATGAGAGGGTGGACGGGCACGGACGGAAGTTCATGAGGTTTTTCCTCACAACGGTGTTCGACGAACAAGGAGTGGACCATGCGAAGGCCGACCGTAAAGTAAGCATGGATTACAATTTGTTCAAGGGGTATGGCGGTAAGGCTATTACCATGAAAGCCTTCGATGTGTCCCCGAAAGAAGACGGGAGTGTGTTGACGATGCTTGGCCCCGTTAAATTCCTCGCCAAAACGAACAGCTACAGGAGATCAGGAAACAGTCCCACGGTTGAGGCCGGCCATCGTATGTCCCCGACATTCGTGCCTTTTGACACGCCGGACGAGGATCTTCCCGGTATAGCAATGACAGAGAGACAGAGGACGCCACATAGTTTTCCAACGCAGCAGACGTCAGCGAGTGGGGGCCGGTGCCACAACAAACAGAGCCAGCCGCGTCGTCCACCAGGCGAGGATGAGCATGGTCCTCCTGTGGGTTCGTCCTGCCGGATGGAGTGTGTTGGACCGTCTCAACCGTCCAGCTGGCAAGACCAAGGCACCCCTGTCATCACATACAAAAGGAAGGCCCTCCCAACTCGTCCCTCTCCCAGTTGCCAGAAGGACGAAGGTGGTGCGTCCAGGAAGGCGGCGCTGCGGGAGATAAGCGAAGGATCGGACGAGGAAACGGAGGATGATTCTAGGGTATGTGTTGATCGACATCCACAGGGTAATCATGCCGTCGATGATGACGAATGTGGTGTCGATGAGGACAACGTCGAAGAGGAGAACAGCGAGAGGGAGAGAGAGAGAGAGAATCGTGAGGAAACTATGCACGACTGCGAGGGTGGGGAGTCTCAACAATACTATGAGGAGGATGACGGGGGCGATGGAGAAAACGATCATGCCTATCCTGTAGGTGATGACGATGGACGGCAAGAGCGGTCGACTGATGTGGGGTCGACGACGCAACAGGAGAGCGGTCGGAGGCCAGTGTCCAGAAAAGGAAGCGACAATCTTCAACAAGTCCAACGGCGGCGGCGGATAAGCGCGCTGCAAAGAAACTCACTGTTGCTGCATCTCGACAAGCGCTCAAAGCTTCTCAAGAGGCGGTCGATGAAAGCGTGAAGAAACGAAAAGGGTCCGCGTCGACAAGGGCGACAAAAGCGGAGAAACGTCCACCAAAAAGAAAGCAGATGGTGGATGAGGGTGACTCTGGAGAGGATGCCGAAGGGGTTCATCCAAGAGATATGTCGGAACACACGCAACCTTCCGCCGACGCCCGTGATGAAGCCATCGACACAACACGGTCCTTCTTCTTGGAGTTCGATGAAGATGAATTTGCAAAGAAGAAAAGGGAACACATTGAAGTGGACGTCACGAAGATCTTGCCAATCCCTGAAGGTGACATCCTCTTCAACCATAGAACGTTGGACGAAACGTTGGTGCAGTCCATATATGATGCGATCCATCATGCGGCCAAGGAAACCAACGGGGAGTGGGATTTCATGACTTTCATCCTCGCTCCCATTGTGCCTAACCGGGACGGGTCTCAAGGCAGACGGATCACACCGGAGCAATTCGATGTCGAACTGGCTCATACATACAACTAGTATGTTGTCGCTGGCCAGCACACGGCTGAGGCAATGAACAGACCCATTAAAGACAAGTCACCGACCGGTAAAGTGTATGGCTTGAGGTCATACTCTCACGTAGGTGTTGTCTACTTTGACGATGACAGAAAGAGAGGATATCCGTACTTCTCGACGTTCGACAACACCAGGGAGGAGCGTTCGATGCCGAGATCGTTTTCGTCATCTGTGCGTCAAATCAGAACATTTTGGGATAAGAGGAACGGCCGGATCCGTCCGCCTGGGACCGTGTCCCCGAATGACGTCGAGGGAATGAAACGGAAAAAGAAATGGGAAGAGTTCATGAACGCCGCCTGCAAAATGACACCTGATTCCGGTCTCATGAACTCGTCCCTGGAGAACGACTACTGCAAGGACTGGACGAACAAGATGCGCGGATACATGAATCTTGCGCAATGCTGCGAAGCAGTATGGCCACTTGTAGAGAAATTCTTCGACATGTACGAGAAGGGGCTATTGCCGCGAGTCGACGGTGTGAGATACATCGACCTGCCGGGGAAAGTGGAAGGGAGACTGCCTGGGCAATACTTCCTTAAGGACAACTCCGGCAAAAAAGTCATGTTCCACTGCATCAAGGCCAGGAAGGGGCCATCAGGCGCAACGGTGTCTATACCTGACTTGACGCCGACAATCTTCAAGTTGTTCGGCGATATGACAGCGAGAGAGAAGCAAGTGGCGCTTCACCACATGATGCGTGGTGATGTCATCGTGACATCACGTTCGGTACCTCGTGGTAGATGCAACATGGCGGACCTGGTTAAATATACTCGGCGTAAAAGATATATGGTCCATATGTTCAACTACATATTGTTCAAGGCCGAGCGGAGGTCAAAAGAAGAGTGGAGCGCTGACTTTTTTATCGGTTATACGACCATCTTGGAGAGGTACAGCAAAAACGGCCTGACGGACGAGAAATGGACCGAGGAACGCGACCTCATCCCTGACGACAAGGCGAGGAAGGTGCCGAGGTGTTTGGGCGCACCTGATGAGATTAATGGTGAGAACGATGCGGGACTGGAGGCAACCCAAGGCATGTACAAGGAAACCCCGTTCCACCTCAAGTGTTTCATCTACGAGGCAACCGACTTCTTGGACGACTTGAGAGCGGAGGTTAATCGGATATCCTCCAGTGCTTGTCACATATTTTAGGAAGTGGGGAAGAGGATTACCACAATTCTGCCATTTGAAATCGAACCGAAGGGAGGGCTCACCGACAACGAGGAGGTTGTTGGTACGGCGAGGGGGATGAAAATACGGGCAACCATTCTTGATATGTCAACATCACCGAAATGTGTTATGTGGGATGATGACGCCTTTTTCCAAACTGTACGTTTTCCTCATAACATGTTGTGACGAAAAATGGGCCTTGATCATTTTCGCGCCGATGAAACACCAGAAACAGGTGATGCAGAGTGTGTACAACTGGGATGATGTTGAGGTGCTCACAGGGTCATGGTACAGACACTATACACCTTCGACAACCTTGAACAAGTACGGCAACATTGCAGTTCGGTACACTGACATGATGGCTATTATCCTCCACGCCGAGAACGACAATTTGGACAATATAACGGTTGCACCGAGATTGTGAGCCGAGTTGACAAATTTGAACGTTGAAGAAAGTGAATTTGTGAGGTGCTCAGGGGAGAGTATGGGCGTGGAGGGCGACACCGACGTGGTTTATTCTTGGATGAAACGAGAGTCAGCACGAGCTCGTTCATCAGGGACGACGATGGCGTGATGCTGTTGGGCAGGGCGCATGCGGGACTGATTTGGGAACTCGCTCGCGCCGGACACCACGTGTTTGCGTGTGACGACACGATAAAAGAGCTCACAGACCTTTCCAAGTTTTTGGAGTTTTATGTGAAGAATCCGAGGAACAAATGCAGGTTCTAAAAGACCCAAGTCGAGCACCGCAAGGACCGGGACATTTACTATAAGCTCGGCATGAAGAGGGAGAAAGTGTGGGCTTACTTGTTCGGTGACGCTCCACGGTCGGCGGTTGATAACGAATACGTCATCAGGAAAAGTGAACTCGAGATAGCAATGGAAGAGTACCATGGATCGCACATGGGTGCTTTCCACATGTTTGTCGCATGTTGTGAGCATCTGTATTTCAATATGAAGAAAAGAGCACTGTCATGCAGGGACTATGCGAACTTGGCACGTAAAGCGGGGAACTTCAACAACATCGATTGTGACGAAGACACGTCAGACTCCCACCTGGACGTTTCGTCGCGCGCGATACGACGTTTGGCGCAGGGAGCACGTGCCGAGGAGCCGCAAGGGAGCACCAACGCTGAAGCGGAGAAGGCGAGGTCGAGTTTGGGAGCGACACATGCTAGTGAGGGAGACGTGGAACATAGAATGAATGCAAAGGGAGAAAAGAATGGTGTGACAACGAACCCGGTGGGTGTGAGTGAGGGAATTGTTAACTCACGGGGCAACACGGGGGAAGAAAAGAATGAGTGTGAAATGACCCCCGACAGTTGGACCATCATCGACACATGCACCGCAGGCCGAGCAGCGAACGCTCACGTCGATGGACACATATGAAGATGAAAACATGGATATGACAACAGTCATGCCGAAGCTCGTGCCAGGAAAACTGTTACCTCAAGGCTTTGCTCAAGACCCTTCAGTGCCATACTTGCTGCAAGACAAGTACAAGGAGTCATCGGAGGAGGACTGGGGTCATCATATTCTCTGGCATGAGGGCGTGTTCGAACCGTGCGTGTTTGCGGGCAAGTGGCAAATGGCTGTGAAGACAAGAGACCGCGGGTGGGTCACGAAGGAAAGAAAGGACGCTGCGATATGGCACAGTGTGACGGAGACACAACTTTTTCGGCGGGTTGCACAAGAAAATGTCGGTGCAACCAAGGTGGCTGTAGCGGCAAAGGCGAAAGCTTTGTTTGAGCAACTGCGTGCGAACAAACAACTAGAAATTAGCACAAAGTTCTACGACCTTGCATCAAGTGTGTCGTATGGCTCCATCGATTGGAAAATCAAACAAGCGTCAGCAGTGCAAGGAATCGATAGCATCACCTCTCTGAACACTCAAGACGTCATCACGTCTAACACCATCGTTGCGATGGCCAGAGGGGATGCAGGCTGCGAAACGGACACACGTGCGAACACATGTCACTTACAGAATGAACAGTTGCGAGCATGTATTCAACAAAGCACACAGAGAAGCGCAATGGGGGATTCCACTATGATACACAAGGACGGCGACGACATGGAGTCCGGCACATTGACAGAGCCGCCAGCGCACGGGGTCAACGATGGGGCAACAATCGTTGGATCTTTCGGGTCTCTTGTCGCGACAGCGGCGGCGAGGCAAGGCGTATCTGAAATGATGGAGACCGATGCGGGCCAGGATGTTGAAAGCCGGACCATGAAGGTGGCGCCAAAGCAGGTGGCGGCAACAACAGAGGAGACGAAGAAAGGTGAGGGATCTCGCGAACACATTTCCGTAATAGATATGAGATCGGAGAGTACGGGCGAGGATATGATCCAAGATAACGACCAGAAAGATGACCACGCTGCACCACGAGTGGAAGGTGACGACGAAGAGGACGCGCAACGACCGAAACGGTCAACGAGAGTAGTAATTAAGAAAACTATGTTTGATGCGTAGGAAAGCCTTTGACGGGCATGGGCGTTTACACGTTTCAGGTTACATTGATGTGTCGCCACAAATCATGATGCGATATTCACCGGTCCTCACATGGGATGTCTACGCATTTCTTGTTAAATTGATAGGTTGCCGATGGGTACTATGTTAAAAAACTATGTTAGACAGGAATGGGTGTAAACGCGTTTTGGGTTATATTGTTGTCTTAATGGAAGTGTTATTGTGACACTGCAATTCTCGAAACTGTAGTGCTGATAATAGAGGGTGCCCCATCTCGATACGTATGTGTGTGTGTGTGTGTGTGTGTGTGTGTGTGTGTGTGTGTGTGTGTGTGTGTGTGTGTGTGTGTGTGTGTGTGTGTGAGTGTGTGTGCATCTGTGTGAGTA